CGTTTACACCAATTATCAACGCAATCTAACATCCGCTGTAGGGACAACTCGTCTCCTGCTATCAAAGCAATATCATCAGCGTACAGTAGTGTACTCAACATAACTCCGTCAATGTTTACACCACAATTGAGAGTGTTGATTTCTTCTGCTAGGTCGATAATGTAAATAGAAAACAAAGTCGATGACTTTACACAACCCTGCCTAACACCGGAATTTACATTAAATAAATCAATGAAACAGTTGTTTATACGTACACGGGCGTTAGAGTTATTGTACATAGATTGAACAGCATAAAGGAATTTCCCTTTGATTCCAAGTTTTAACAGTTTAAACCATAGACAATTTCTATCTACCTTATCAAACGCTTTCATTGCATCGATGAAGCACACAAAAGTAGGTTTCCCAGTTAGCTTTCTGTTGTTGATTACTGAATATAGACTGTAAATATGTTCTTGAGTACTACGCTTGGATCGGAAGCCATTTTGTTCCTCAACCAATATATCATGTAATTCTAACCACTTTGTAAGTCTAGTATTAAGGATATCTGAGTATATTTTACATGGGACTGAAAGCAGTGAAATACCGCGATAACCCAATGGATCACGTGGGTCACCCTCGGGCTTCTTGATAGGATTTATAAAACTAGTACGCCAAATATCCGGGCACTTATTGTTTTCAAAACAAAATGTAAACAGTCTAAATAAAAGATCAATACATGTTTTACTTTTTAGAGCTTCAGCAGGTATACAGTCTGGACCGGCAGCCTTACCACGTTTAGCACGGGCAACCTCGTACTCAACCTCCGCCAATGTTATCGGTTTATCTAGGTCACTGGTATCAAACGTCCGATCACTCGCCCCGTGACCGTTGTCCATTTCATCCCGAACTCGCTGTAAGTGAGCCTCGTCAAAACAGGAAGAAATGTCAGTCTCAAACAGAGAACAATAGTCACGTTTCCATGTGTTAAGTACAGTCAATTTATCTGTAGACACGACACCATTTTCAGTTACTTCCCACGGGATAGTATTTCCGCGGTCTGAAGCAATGCCTAATTTACCGATTGTTTTTGTATAGGTTAATCACCCTTACAAGGTAGTTACTTAAATAACTACCGCAGTGAGGGTGATTAAACGGCTTACACCACGAGGGCATACTTATTTGATACGCGTGTAATGTATTAGGCATGATGAAGATGATCAAAATGAGTACAATTTTATTGTTTTTAAATAGAAATAATTGCCCTAGGGCAGTTATTGAGTTATGCTAATAAAACACTTCCAAGAACAGTGGACATAACTTTCCCTAGTGGTTTAAGCAGTGGTATTATGCCTAGGTATAACAACAATTCATAATCTAACAATGTTTCTTTGATCGGCCGCAGTACAGACGGGAGTCTCTTCCCGGAAGCAATGATTTATTGCGTTTCGTTTAAATAATTAAATAATTGCTATTGATCATATAGTGACTGACTGACTGACTGAGTTTGGTTTTACGCCGCTTTTAGCAATATTCCAGCAACATCACGGCGGGGGACACCAGAAATTGGCTTCACACATTGTGCCCATGTGGGGATTCGAACCCGGGTCTTCGGCGTGACGAGCCAACGCTTTAACCACTAGGCTACCCCACCGCCCCGATCATATAGTGAGTGAGTCGGGTTTTTACGCTGATTTTAGCAATATTCTAGCAGTATCACGGGGGGAGACACCAGAAACGGGCTTCACGCAATGTAGCAATGTACCCATGTTAGGAATCGAACCGGCCCTCCGGCGTGACCAGCGAACGCTTTAACCACCAGGCTACCCCACCGACCCCCATATTGATCATATAAATCGACACATAATATAATTATACATTATAGCATCATGAGAGAATCATGCTCTATTACTTCAGAACGGATATTCAAAGAAAGTAGTATTACTTCTCGACAATCCACCTCTACTAACAACAGGACAAATGTATTTCAATACGTTTACTGACTTTTGATTCTTAAAGGTCATAGTCACAGTGGAAGAGGGTCACAACAACGCACACGTGCCTTCTGCTTTTAATTTCATGCCCATGACATTTTTGTGTCTTATAAAAGTTGCTGTCTAAAGCCACAAAAGTTGCGTTTGTGCAGTGCACTAGTTAACGAATATAGGACCAACATGGTTCAGTAAAAATAATGAAGTTGTGGACAAAAACGAAACATGTACAAACATCATCAGCATTCTCAGTATATCCTATGCGTTTCTGTATTTGAAGAGAGCATGGATGGAGTATAGAGTATATAAAATATTAATCAAGAAAAAATATGGTTATTTAGGAGATAAACAGAGGTATATAACGAAATTATGATAGCTCTAAATTTGATTTAATACCTCTGATTTTCCAACACAGTGCGTTTATCTCCAACCGCATTATTAAGATTTTAAAATAACACATACTGTGTTGGAAAATCAAAGGTATATAACGTGATTATATACCTCTAAATGACTTTGATTAACCAATCAAAATCCAGTATTTACTTAAGTCATGGTAGAATTTTATTTGATAACCCACAGAATGTTTGTTATTGGTCCACGATGATTAGGTTTTGCGTTGAAAAATGAAAATAACTAGCGGCATTCTTCTAGTAGCAATAATTCAGGCGTTTCAACGAGTATTATCAGTTCGATGGCGTCAAGTGGCAATACATCCCCGCAAGACCTTAAGGTGGTGTTCACTTACTCAGTCTGTTTTACATTTTATTGAGATATTATCGAATTGCCAAGACCAAGGTTTCAAGTGGTATTCTGACGGACTCGGTATGTTGAGGTTGACACTGCTTATTGTGCTTATAGTATCCAAGGCCTAGTGTTGTTGGTTACAACTGACCCGGAGGAACACAATGACCGAGAACCCTCTTTATTGACAGGGCTGAGAAAGGCGTTAGGCTGCAATGCCATTCACACTGAGCAAGCTTCTACACCTGTTGATCCAAATCCATGGTGTAGCACTGTAGCTATGGGTAAATATTAGCATGTGTGTTGTATCAAACAGTCATATTTACTCGTTGAGGAATTGATTAGACAGGGGAGAAAGATGTGCTGCACTGTAAACGTATTTTAATCCTTTCTGCCTTAATATATTCCTGGAGAGATGGGAGGGACGTTATATTGCGTGATTTATTTAGTTTTGTGTTAGTTTATATTGAGGATGTCTTGTCTTTCATGTAACGAAGCCGATAACCGTTTTATGTGCTAATCAGTCTGTCTGAACCATCGTAAACACGCAAAGTTGGCAGGACCAAGGTCGGGTGGTAGAATGTGACGATGAAGGCAGCTACTCGTATGCTAATTGTGCTTTCACAGTCGTGTATTTACCAGTTGCTAGTTACAAGTTAAAGAGTGAGTGAGTTTATTTTTACGCCGCATTTAGCAATATTCCAGCAATATTATGGCAGGGTACACCAGGAATGGGATGACATATTGTACCCACGTGGGGACACAAACCCGGGTCTTCGGTGTGACGAGCGAACGCTTTAACCACTAGTCTACCCCACCGCCCAGCAAGTTAAAGACTACATTGTGCCTGAATTGGAAACTGGGTTTAAGCCATTTCTGCCATATCAATTTTGGAGAGGCACATTGTTGTCTGAGCATTACGGAAGCATTTCGTTTGACCACTAGCACTAGGCAATTGTCTTTGTTCCCTCAGTACAGGTAATGCAATAAGTCTGCGATGGAATTACAAAATTCAGTGTCTATATCCTTGGGGAAAAGACAGAGTTGGAACATTCTTATGTTGATCTCTGTAGAGAAAGGCATGCAACGAAATACATTGTCACATTGATATCACTAGTGATAAGCCAGCGATGGAACACGTTGTGACATTGATATCACTAGTGATAAGCCAGCGATGGAACACGTTGTGACATTGATATCACTAGTGATAAGCCAGCGATGGAACACGTTGTGACATTGATATCACTAGTGATAAGCCAGCGATGGAACACGTTGTGACATTGATATCACCAGTCATAAGCCAGCAACGAAACACATTGCCATGTTGATCACTTTAGTGATGTATAACATGGTCATGTTGATCTCTGTAGTGATTCGTCACCACCGCCACTGCTACTACCGCTACTTCTACTAATTCTACTACATCTTTTACGCCGTACTCAGCAATATTCCAGCTACATGGCGGCGGTCTGTAAATAATCGAGTCTGGACCAGACAATCCAGTGATCAACAACATGACAACGTACTACTACTACAACAACGACGGCGACGGCGATTAAAACCCCTACTTTCACTTACATATTTTTTAGCCGTTCTGAAGGAAAACATTTGTCAGGTACAACTGAGGCGGCGACACCATTTTACACAGGCCATATTTCAGAAATCCCTGTCACATATTTGCGAACGCTTGACCATTGGTTCATTAATGATAAACTAACATCAAATCGACGTATAGGCATTGTTCACCACCCGTTATATGATGAATGATAGCTTTGCTTGGTGTTGTGATCCGTTTACAATTTTGTTGTTTCTACACGCATGAAGGAACCACACGTCAGAAAAGAGACAGCGTTCGTTTACAGCTCGGGCTATATCGAGACTGGAGAATCTATGTATAAGATTTGTCAAAATAACGCATCATCGAACTTTAGCGGATCCTGGTAATTATAAGTTGCATCACTTAAGGCTTAGCCCCATCCTAATATACACTGGAGATTATCAAGGATGGCTTACCCCTTTCTTTAAGGTAACCAGTATCATATCAGGGCCCGGTTTCACAAAGCTATCGTAGCGCTACGACTGTCGTGCCTCCTATACTCTAACTACGACAGTCTTAGCGCAACGATAGCTTTGTGAAACCGGGCCCTGGAACATTTGTCATAGCAGCATTAAACCCAACTCACAACCTCACTCCCATGCTATTCAGATGTAACAGATGTCTACCCCTTTAACAAATTCACCCAAGACCATTTTGGATGCGAAATTCCAAAATATCTATTTTATTAAGCTTAGCTTTACTGAAATCTTGAATAACACAGATCCTTCAATATGTGCGGGATATGCCACCTAAACATCTGGTATACCGTTTGTATCCTCAAGAAATACGACATATGCGACTTCAGCTCTACCCCGGCGATGTTCCTTTCCCCTTCTTGCTCTCCACCAGCATCAGTACCCCAGCCACACCCTCCAGTAACAGAGCCACGATAGCCAGGCCGAAACTGAACCCCAGCTCTCCGATCTTGACCGTTCGGGTAATCGGTTGATGGTAATACCCGTTGTCAAACTCAGCTCCAAACACGATCACCGCTAGAAGGTAACATATAGCTGAAAAACAAAACAAAACAAAACAAAATAATAAAATTTATATATAAGTAAGAGCTTATTGTCAGCCTGTATGTTTTATCTTTTAATACAGTTGTACGGAAATATGTTCTACTGATATTATCTGATTTTTGACACAAGAAAAATACGTTAAGCACATTACTGGATGAATGGTTATATACATACATGTGTACATTACACCTGTGATGATCCGGGTTAGAATCGTTCTTTTGCAAGCAATAGAGACAACTATTAACTTAAATTTTGTAATAAAGACAAAAATTTAAGATATTATGGTCTGAAAAGACCATTCACATGATGTGCGATCTCCATGAATTGTTTTTTTTTTACCTACAATCACTGAATGCAAAATGACTTGAACACGTTAGCTGAATAATAATATATTAGATATAAAATATAAAACATTGATCCGGTGAAAAGGCATTGAATGTTAAAGGGTGAACAGGCCACAGTGAACACCTGAGTCTGATATGAGTATTTGTATTTAAGCATGCAATAATATGGAATCGATACAGTTTTCAATAATTAACACAGGGAATCAGTTACGGCACCTGTGACAATACTCTGTATAGCGTTCCAGAACCCGATGTCGGTAACGTCATCACACTTGGACGTGAACACTTGCAACACGACGATGATGAAGGCAATGTTGATGCCGACGAAGCCAAAAATGGAGAGAGCCTGCACAGCTGTGTACCAATCTGCAAGAGAGGAGAGAATAGTGACTCATCAATGAAGGTGTATCTGTAATCAGATATACGTATATATGTAATACTTGCAACCCCAGAAAGTGAGTGAGTGAGTTTAGTTTTACGCCGCACTCACGCGAAGATGGTAACGTAACACAGGATGCACGTGGCGAGGGTGTGAAGTTTAAATTTACGTGGGACGTGGGCAAGGTCTGTCAATTCAGGAGAATTTACTTTCAGCTGGTATATCTAGATTGCTTGAAATTAAGTGTAACCCCGATAATCCGAACAGTATTACAAAGTGTGAAGTTGTCCTGAATGGCCATGCATTGCAACCTCATATAGTTGTTACGTTTCCTTGTAGTATTTTCCTTGAAAGCCTTTCCTTTGCCTTTGTGGTGTTGGGACTACCAAAGGTGCATTTGTATCTTCATGTTTATTTAAAGATTATATGAAAAAAACCCACTAACGACATGATAATCTCCCCTGTATTAAAGTGTATGTCACCTAGGCCGATAGTGTAAAATCTCACTTAATACAAGTAAAAAGTAACGCATGTGAGATGGTATGACTGTTGATAGTTTATTCATGACACATTCAATACAAATACAATATGTTTTATTGAACTGTGTTTGATTCGTGGTCGTTGGTGTAATTCACAAAAGCAACCGTTTTAAACTTTTGTATCTGTGTATAGAATTTTTTTATAAATGACTGCGGGGTGGTGGGGTAGCCTAGTGGTCAAGGCGTTCACTCGTCACGCTGAAGACCCGGGTTCGATTCCCCACATGGGCACAATGTGTGAAGACCATTTCTGGTGCCGTGATATTGCTGGAATATTGCTAAAAGCGGTGTAAACCCCAACTCACCCACTCACTCACTATAAAAGACTGCGACAATATCATGGAAAGGAAGTTATAAGCAGAATGCAAGAAGACATTGTGTCTTCTACGGTGACAAAGACTAAAAATGGTCAAACGTCAGTCAGTATTGTGTCATACGTTTGTCGAATTATTCGAGTGAGTGAGTGAGTTTAGTTTTACGCCGCACTCAGCAATACCCCAGCTTTATGGCGGCGGTCTGTAAATAATCGAGTGGGAACCAATGCTATGTGTCAACCAAGTCAGCAAGCCTGACCACCCGATCCCGTTAGTCGCCTCTTACGACAAGCATAGTCGCCTTTTGTAGCAAGCATGGGTTGCTAAAGACCTATTCTATCCCGGATCTTCACGGGTCTCGAATTATTCGAAGTTACTGAGACTGAATGCTGCTTATCGCAACATTGCAACATTGCAATGGGACGTCTTGCAGTTGGAATACTTGCAATCAAGGATTATCGAAAAAGTTGCTTCGTTTACCTTCGTTTTAGATCTGGTACAGATCCAAGACGTTTATCTTTGAAAACCATGAGCTCGGCACAGTTGCATGTTAATCGCATTCTGACACACAAGAGGGACACAGCTTGCGCTTTGTGGAGTCTGTTGTTCCTTCAGATCACCCCGCAGATTATTAGACTTAGCCGTAATTAACGGCACAGGCCTTGAGGTCACAAGTAATAACAGTTATATTTGTAAAGCGCCAATGTCAACCCACTGATGAATGTTCATGGCGCATTAAAACTATTTATAGAATAAGAGTTAGGGAAAAAGTCAATTGTAGGCTTTAGAAAAAAAGAATGTCTTTGGGGCCTTTTCAAAACAGTCGTTGTTGAACAAGTGCTTTCCACTATGTCGCATGATAAGGTCAGCGGGGATGTCACTGTGGTTTACCGCTCTTAATACAATCAACTTTCATTATAATGACATAAATATCTTGATATATTTCTTGTCTTGAGGGTACATTAACCCCAGTGCTGGTTACCCTCGCTATGCTGAGGCTTTACTCTACTTTCCAGATAGCGCCTGTCACCGGCCACAGACTGAACTCTCCCAGACGCCTGTCACTGTTTTCAAAATATAGACATCTATATTCTGTCCATATCACAGGTGTAATTGTTCTGATCACACAGTGAGTGAGTAAGTGTGTTTTAGCAATATTCCAGCAATATCAGAAATGGGCTTCACATATTGCACCCATGTGGGGAATCAAACGGGCGTGACGGGCGGTTGCTTTAACCATAAGACTACCCCACCGCCTCTAAGATCACATAGACTCCTCCCTACGAAGAAGGTACCTCCCTGTCCAGAGCGCACCTGTAATTATCCTGATAACTCTTCCTTCAGAGAACAAGCACGGTCCTTTCCGGACGCCAAATACAGAAATAACAGGCAGTCCGAGCAAATATGTTTATGTCATTCATACGCCTCCTCTGATACACTTTATATACCATAATAATTACCTGAAGTAAACACAGACATTATTTCAATGTCAGTCGACAAAAGAACATCTGGACCTAGACTGGCGCAAACTCAATCCTATAGGATGCTATATTATGTTCATAAAACACAACGCCATAACAACTACAAAAATAGAAGTACAGACATAAGAAAAACACTTATTTAGATATAAATACTTGTACAGCGTTTAAGAAACTCACACCAGAAGTGACAAAGATAAATATACATGTATACGCAGTGGTGTCTATGTAGGAGAAATGCCATGACTGCTCCATGTTTACGACGGTGACGTCACAGTGACGCCCTTTCCGTCCAGCAAGATAAGAACTCCCGCCACAATCTCTAAGATCAGCGCCACAATGGCAAATCCGAAACTGAAGCCGAACTCCCCCTCCCGCAAGATCCCTCCGCCGACGTAGCTGAAGAAGCCGTCGTCAAAGTTCGTTCCGAAGATAATCACAGCAACCAGGTAACACGCACCTGTTGGATGAAGCAGAATAAAGTTATAAATTATAAAGGTTGGTTGCTAAGTGAGTCATTCATAAATTTGAAACCTATGTTCACAGAAAACCTACTTTGGGGCCCTGAAGATGAAACGCTTTTAAAGAACCAATAAACTTTGTTTTTTGTTACTCTTTTAACCATTACATATGAAAGATTTGTGGTTAGTCTTATGCGGAACACCAAATTTATTCTTTAAAAACTTGTGGTTAATTAATACCGAGCGATTAAAAGTGGCCAAAAAGTCGCCTGCTTCCCTCTCGCCCGCCAACGAAACCACAGACAGGTTACGTAACTCTGTCGCCAGAGCACTGCAGTGACGTCATATGAGGAACGATTTTCAGTTAGTTGTATAGAAAATGTGTAGCACGCTCATCATTTTGATGATTTCTCGACATCAACGACGAATGCCGAATCGTTGCTTTGTCGTCAATTGCTCCTAGGGGTCGGGCGATGGTGTCCCCATGCACAGATTTCCACAGGAGCCCGCAGTTCGTGCTACATGGGTTATGTTTGTGAGGAGTGCGAAGCGAGCGTTGTGGAAGCCTGAAACGATATCTTACTTGTGTTCAGATCGCTTCACGGAAGTTAAAGAATCAAAACTACTTACTAGTTGTAGTAAAATATGCATATGATTGATGACCATAAAGATTTTCTATGGCACAACTTGTAACATAACGATTTCTTCCTCGGAAGTGAGGTTGTGGTCGAAGTAACAATAATATTGTAAGTAGTATTATATTGACACCCACCTCGCTGCCACGAGAGAAATTGTTGTGTTATACGCTTATGTCATGCAAAATGCTATTGGCCATCAATAAAATTCATATTTGACTACCAGTAGAAAATAGTTTTGATTTTAACTCGGTGAAAACAAACCCTAAATACCATTTATCCTCAGACTGGCGGATGTTCCCGACAGGGCGCCGCCATTTTAAAAATAAAAATCTGTTAGAATTAATGAGATTATAGTTTGTTTTCATCAAGTTAGAAAATCAAGACTACTTTCTACTCGTAGTTAAATATGTATTGGAATCATAACCAAACGGATTTTGCATGACACAACTTATAACATAACGATTTCTTCCACGGAAGCGAGGTGGGGGTCGAAGTCACAATACTGCGCGATAAATTCCTTGCTACATTCCCATGGTTAATGTTCACTCACCAGTATGTAGATACTAGTCAATGTGCGTCTTTATATTTGGTCTTATAATCCTAATTAGTTTATTATCATACTTGTATGCATTTTGAAACTAAATAAAAAGCAGACGATCTGCTGATACTTATAGTGAATTTATAACAGAACTGTAATATCTGGACATTTTATAGTTTGCCAATGTGAATCATACTTCGCACACACCCTAGTGCATGTTGTCTGTCTCATTACACTTCACGGCGAAAACAATGATTCTGTTGAATGCTACGACAAATGAATAAAAACAAAATGCAAATATTAAAATTAAAACAGATTAAAGTTATAGGAACAATATCAGGCCATTACCTTGTTCGAGGAATGTATCCATCAATATCCACAAAACTGTTCCAAATGATGTGTCTTTTAACAGTTTAATATACGAAAAAGTGATAAATCTTTTCAGGTATTGGTGTATAGTCTCATTGGTCACCCAACATAGCACACCTGGCAACTAATTGCATAATGTCCGCCTTTCTTTAAAACAGTAATTTAGTTAGCCAATAATGGGCAATCAATCAATGTATTGCCGGTTAATCCTTTGAAAGAAGGACGTTGTTTTACGCAGACACCGACACGACAAGAGTGTATTCAGTATAGATTAGTAAAATCTACATACATAAACACTACATTTTGACAATTCCGCTGTAATAAGATAAAAGTAATTAATCAATCAGCGTGTTATCGGTTAATCCTTTGATCGATGTTTATACGGCCCTTTAAATGTTAAATTTCGTATTTTTAAGTATTGTCGGATGCCAGTTAGTGCATATATTTAAATGTTATATTTATATTGTCGGTGCATATATAACACTGTTCAGTAAAAATGTCTAAACAGAAATTATACCATCTAACCATTTTCACAATTAAGTTTTTATGTAATGAGTTTGTAACATTAAAAACAGCAATCTAAGCTTGAAATACATAGGAAATCGAGTAATATGAATGTTTAAATCATAATAGCATCGGTCATGATGAGATGAGTTTGAGTTTATGGATGTCCTAAAGTGTATGTGCTAGCTATTCCGAAGTTGTACCACCCTTTCTTGATTGTAATCAATATGCCCTGTACAAAAATGTTCGCTGTATAGTACCGTGGCATTAAAGTGTTTATGGGAGGATTCGTTGATGAGGAAAAAATATGTAAGTGAATAAAGTTTCCACTGAAGGCTCCGAATTAAGGAATGACGTTGACAGATCAAGGATCAAACGCAGTAGGAATATCTAAGGTAGTAGGGAATCCATGCAAATACTATGGACAAAGGGAGTCCTACACACTTGACCACTGATCCTCCCGTGCATCTTACAGTAAAGGTTTATTGTACACGGTACATGGTATGATAACACCCGAATTAGTCACCCGTGTCAGTGTAGACGTACTCGCGAAGATCCGGCTTAGAACAGCTCTTCAGCAACCCTTGCTTGTCGTATGAGACGACTAACGGGATCGGCTGGTCAGGCTTGCTGACTTGGCTGACACATGTCATCGTAATCCTTATTGCGTAGATCGATGCTCATGCTGTAAATCACAGGAATGTCTGGTCCAGACTCGATTATTTACAGACCGCTGTCGGCGTAAAACAACAAACAAACACTGTAGACGTATTTACCAGTTAGAAAGCAACAGAGGGCGTTCCAGAAGCCGAGGTCACTGACACCTTTGCACATGGAAGAAAATATCTGAAGAGTCACCACAAGGAACGCAACGTTGATTCCGACAAAGCCAAACACAGACATAGCCTGCACAGCGGCGTACCAGTCTGAAATAGATCAGTGTAACCAGTGTCAAGTTTAGTGTTAGCACAAACCTGTCGAACATAGGAGGAAATCAAGGTGGTTTAATTTACAATTGAAAATATACAATGATGCTAACATCTGGCGCATTGGATTCTCCAAATTCAGCGAGAAGACATAATTTCTGTATCCATGCCAACATGTTAGAAGGCGACAGGGGATAGGAATATGACCCAACGCAGTCTTAGATTTTTCGCTGCCCCAAATGTCTTGAAATACAGGCTTCACATTCCGGATGATAAGGATATACTCGGGACAGATAATTCCGTAATCTTATATCATTTATGTAATGCCCATAAGTTCACTTCTGAGAAACAATGTAAGCGCAAGCTGTTATCACAATATACTAATATCAAACCTTCTGTGACATGAACAAAGGTAGACGTCATGATAACTATGTTTTCACAATACATTGACGTGACTGCTCATTGCTATGGGTCACTTCGCTGAAGTTACTAAGATTGGAACTGAAGTACTCAATCGGCATGGCTCACAAACTACAAATGGTGGCCAAGAATATTTACATTTATTTGTATATATAATTTCACCAATCCCCGTGTTCCAGTGGACAAGAAAGTATAGGAATGTATAGGAGTGGGTGAATTAACTCTGCTTCATTAATAGCGATATTCTAAACATCTAGAAGCAAAACAGTGAGGCTACTCACAGAACTTAAATTATATTTCTTTAAAATGTTACCATACTTTTAGCACGTAAACATTTCCCTTATCGACATATTAGAGTGACCTACCTAGTCTGGTTCCATCCAACTGACCACACGCTGAGGGGAGTTCTGAGTTACTACACAACCTCCACAGACCATACCCAACGAAGAAGTCTCCAACCGGAGCCGTGTACCTCTTCCCCCACTGCGGGATGGTGAAGGCGATGTAGTTGCACACCTGGGCCACCAGCAGCACCAGGAAGCACACCTTCATCAACACAGATGCTCCCATGAAGCTATCCTTTATTCCCATGGTGATTGGTATTAGATAACCTCAGCAACTAGAGATAACGCCGTTCCCTCTGCAACTTCTCGAACAGACTGATGTGGCGCGATCAGTGGGAGAGTGTTTGTGTTTAGGCGTTGCTGCAACAACCGGCTTGCCATGGTTTATTGCTTTATGGCTGCTTCACGAGTGTATGGCCCACTGTTGATCAAACATTAGTTGTAAATCATGGGTGTTATGAGTGGGACTGCATATAGTGTCAGCGAGAATATTGTGTCTGATTCTTTTTCACTATCTTCAATCGCCGCTTTTAGCACTATTCCATTAATATCACGGCCGGGGACACCAGATACGGGCTTCACACATTGTAACCATGTGGGAAGTCGAACCTGGGGCTTCGGTGTGATGAGCGAACGCTTTAATCACCAGGGCCTAGATTTTCGAAGCTCTCTTAGCGCTAAGATAGTCGTAAGTTAATGTTCATGTATGGCACTTACAACTATCTTAGCGCTAAGAGAGCTTCGAAAATCTAGACCCAAGCTCCCCCACTGCCATTGGTTGCATGAAGCACAAGGCAGCAGTGATGGCACTCTCGGCTAAGGCGCCGAAATTTCGCTGTTCAGAGTTGGGTCTCTCCAGAGGTTTATGATTTAAATCTTGGTTCGTCCCGATCGTGTTTCAAGGTTTGTCAACACCATACTGGCATCCTAGATCAAAACCCAGTTGCACTCACTCAACTGACAACACCATACTGACATCCTGGATCAAAACCCAGTTGCACTCAATCAACTGTCAACACCATACCGACATCCTGGATCAAAACCTAGTTGCACTCAATCAACTGTCAACACCATACCGACATCCTGGATCAAAACCTAGTTGCACTCACTCAACTGTCAACACCATACCGACATCCTGGATGAAAACCTAGTTGCACTCAATCAACTGTCAACACCATATCGACATCCTGGATCAAAACCCAGTTACACTCACTCAACTGTCAACACCATATCGACATCCTGGATCAAAACCTAGTTGCACTCAATCAACTGTCAACACCATACCGACATCCTGGATCAAAACCTAGTTGCACTCAATCAACTGTCAACACCATACCGACATCCTGGATCAAAACCCAGTTACACTCACTCAACTGTCAACACCATACCGACATCCTGGATCAAAACCCAGTTACACTCACTCAACTGTCAACACCATACCGACATCCTGGATCAAAACCCAGTTACACTCACTCAACTGTCAACACCATACCGACATCCTGGATCAAAACCCAGTTACACTCACTCAACTGTCAACACCATACCGACATCCTAGATCAAAACCCAGTTACACTCACTCAACTGTCAACACCATACCGACATCCTGGATCAAAACCCAGTTACACTCACTCAACTGTCAACACCATACCGACATCCTGGATCAAAACCCAGTTGCACTCACTCAACTGTCAACACCATATCGACATCCTGGATCAAAACCCAGTTACACTCACTCAACTGTTACAACACCATATCGACATCCTGGATCAAACCCAGTTACACTCACTCAACTGTCAACACCATACCGACATCCTGGATCAAAACCCAGTTACACTCACTCACTCAACTGTCAACGCCATACCGACATCCTGGATCAAAACCCAGTTACACTCACTCAACTGTCAACACCATACCGACATCCTGGATCAAAACTCAGTTGCACTCACTCAACTGTCAACACCATACCGACATCCTGGATCAAAACCCAGTTACACTCACTCAACTGTCAACACCATACCGACATCCTGGATCAAAACTCAGTTGCACTCACTCTACTGTCAACAGCAGAAAGAGCTAGTTTTGGAATTTGACGCGGCTGCAAAGATTCGGTTCGATTTATCGAAAATCGATACCTCAGTTTCGAGTTTCGATGATCATTATCACTATTTCGGTTCGATATTTGAGTGCTGTTCTGCGTTTAAACATCATATTTTATTTGTTTGAAAAAGGTTACATCATTTACATTCCTGATTTCAGTGTGATATGTTTTGTTTAATAAACTCTGAGAGTTCAATGACATCTGATGTTTTTACTTGTATGAAGAATCGAATCGAAAATGATCGAATCGAGGGTCCAATATAGAAAATCGAATCGAGGTCTTGGTGAATCGTTGCAGCTGTAGTTGTACGATATCTCGTAGCAATATCTCAGTTAATGTTAATGCGTGTCAACTTGACGTTTGAGGAAAGTCGTAAGTGTAGGTCAAACGTATAACGCTTTGGTGAAATCAACAACGTAGGATACTGTGTTCACAAACCAACTATCTTAATCTGTGAATCTGTTGATACTAACGAACACCAGTCTGGGATTGTCGCATTTGTGTCCGCACTGTGTCCGACTGGAACATATCTCCTCAAGTTTCAGAATTATGAAAAAAGGAGGAAGATACCCAGTGGCCCTGTTTCACAAAGAAGCCTTAGCACTACGACTGTTGTAAGTCAATGATGAGAGTTACGATCATCCTAGCGCTACGATTGCTTTGTGAAATGGGGCTGTTACGACGTGAATTGTAATAAAAACGCAAATTGTAATACTTGCAGCAAATTGTAATAAACTTGACGTAAATTGTAATAAAAACGTAAATTGTAAAAAAAAAATTGACGTAAATTGTAATACGCAAATTGTAATAAAAATTGACGTAAATTGTAATAATTTTCGTTGCAGTAAAATGTAATAAATATTTACGTAAATTGTAATAACAGTTTTAATCACTCGTAAATACGCGGGTGTTTGTTTTTCGTTGCATTTCATACATCAAATAAGCTTGTTAGGGCGATAACTCAAGAAAGAAATGATGGATTTTGTTCAAATTTGGTACCAAGGTATATTGGCGAGATTCACCGACACAAGTGAAATGGAGTGACCTTGAGATAATTTTCAAGGTCACAGCAAAATTCTGAGGGTTTTGCCAATATAAAGATTGTTAGCGCGATAACCCAAGAAAGAACTGACAAATCTTAGCCAAATGACAAAAATGATATTCGTCCTGATATATAATCGATATAAAATCTCTTACTGTCCTCTGTATCATGTCTTTTCGCAAATATCTTTTAAGGTTTTGATATGTATAAATATAAAGTGGGGTGGGGTGGGGATGGGTTTCTAACGGGTATATCAAATCAAATCAAATCAAATTACACATTTGTATAGCGCTACATATCCAGAGTCCTGCTCATGTGCGCTTAGTCGAATGCTCGTTTGAAGAGGATGGTTTTGCGACAAGATCGGAAACTGTTGATATTTTCCGTTTTCTGACATTTTCAGGTAATCAATTCCAGAGTACAGCACCCGGTCTGCTAAATGATCTGTCTCCGTATGTTGTGGTTCGGACAAATGGAATAGCCTAGTTGACTAGCAATGAAATGCATCACAAATTAAACTTCAGGAAACAAAATATGCAAGAAACATTTTTGTATGTTTGAGATTGGTAGAGGTCGGCTAGAATCAAACTTAGATATTAAACTGCACAAAAAGGCAATTTGAAACTACAATCGCTTGTTCAAATGACTCCCCCTTCGGTTTACTGAAAGAACTCGAGAAAGAAATGATGGATTTTGTTCAAATTTGGTACCAAGGTTTATTGACGAGATTAACCGACACCACTTGAATTTAGTGACCTTGAGGTTATTTTAAAGGTCACAGCGAAGGTGTAACAGTTTTGCACATGCCAAGCTTGGTAGCCGCGAACTTAGGAAAGAATTAATAGATTTTGATCCAATTTTATATCAAGTTGTATTGGCGGGAATCCCCCTACACCAGTTGAAACAAAATATGCAAAAAACATGTTGTATGTTGGTAAAAGTCAAACATAGATATTAAACTGCACAAAAAAGCAATCTTAAACTATAATTGCTTGTTCAAGTGACTCCCCTTCATGTTTACTGAAAGGGCTTGTTTTGGAGACACTACCCACCCCCTTTCAGTTGACGTCATCATAAGGATATAACTCATCCTAAAGTTTTCACTTATTCATACATGATGTCAAGGGTTCAAACTAAATACTGAATGGTCACACAAGTGTCAGCTCTCAATATGTTGTATATCTGGACACAATGTTTTTGAAAATTTAAAATGAGGGTGTCCTAAAAAAACTAGCCCCCGTCTAAATGTAAATCAAGCAATCCACATCTTTGAATGTTGATGATGACGGGAAGTCATCCAATACTATGCTGAACATATTTTATATGATATTATCTGAGGGTATACCATTATCCAAGAGATAGCGCAATAGTGCAGTTGTAAGGCGTCTGCCTATCACGCTGAAGGCCCTGTTTCGAGGAGGCACCGAGGTTCGGTTCTCGAGATGGGCACATTTGCGTAGTATCCTTGGACATGATACTTAGATCTACACTGTCTCAGTTCACCCAGCTGTAAAATGGGTACCCGTGAGTATGTGCTGGCAATGTGAGTGTTTAGTTCATTGCGCCTAACATGCAGCATGGCTGTACAGTCCCCAGGGAGTTGAAAAAGTATCGGAAACTACGATAGTGTCCTATGATCGGGGATAGTAATGTACGTAGCGCCGTGAGCAGGCAATGTGCCTGGATGGTGAGCGCCTTATAAGCAGACTATTACTATTACTAGATACCAAATGGGAGATCGTTTTCCATTTTCTGCAAATTTGCAAGAAACATAATACCCCAATGTTGTGATGACTAATATCTCGTTAACCACATTACCCACATGAAATTTTGGATATGACTTTGCTAATGATTCCTTCAAAATAAAATGGAAGCTTCTTTTCAAACATTGGACATCGAGAATATAATTAGTTTGACTACTTTTTCAACGCCCCTCGTAACATACTTAAAAGAAATGAGAACGTCTAAGGAAAAAAGTATTTCGATCTCTGAATACTTCTGAGCTATTTAAATACAAAAAGCAAAGGAATAAAGTAAATAATCTGAAAAGAATAGCCAAGGGAAAGTTTTATTCTAATTTTGATAACTATTTATCACCTCAGTCTACTCAATCAGGTGTTTAGTACTTCCCCTTCTTGTCACTGATGAT